GGATCTTCACTTAGTAGCACAATGCCGTCTGTATATTGCAGATTAGACAGTCCTCCACCCGAGAGTAAACCGATACGGTTTTCCTCGCATGAGGATAGGGCTGTTTAAAAAAGTAAATCTATCACGAAGTTAAATAGAAACGGAGAGAGGGCGATCCTGTACAACACCACTTTGGATAGTGAACTCGGGTGAAAGTGCCGTAAGCTCGGACTCGGCTATTAATATAAAGAAATTGTGATAAATATATACACAGTATATGAATGAACTGAAAAAAGATTACTGGATACGCATGCCTGACGAGCGGCAAGAACCGCGAAACCGGTCATGTGCTTCCAGGGAAATTTTTTTCAGTCATTCACATACTACTTATTATGAAATATGTATATATATGGTTGCCTGAGTGAGTTACGCGATTGTGCGTGAAGTCTGAAGGCTAGTTATCAAAATCAGCCTCACCTATCCACACAGTACGAGGAAGTGACTGTAAGTTGAGTGCGGATCACAATCAGTGATAGTTTATCAGTAAATCATTTGGACGAATTTAGCACCCCAATCGCCTAAACACCTGTGCATAAACAGATGTTCACAATCCAAAACGAGTTCTCCGATCGACAGATTAATCTCCCTGCAAAGTAACTGTGATTTATGTTGAATCCGAAAACATTAACAGACAGCGACATGTTTTTTGTCATTGTGTGTGCTATTGCAATATTATTCCACAGTTAATCGACTTCAGATTTGGATTTGACCCCGTCGAATGAGTTTTTATCTTTCGGTACAAAAATATCGTGCATTTAAAACCAATTTCTTTCAGGCAACATACTACTGCATTTGTTCTTGCCTTCTGTGAGGATGTACTACAACCTGGAGTCCCTGTGGGTCGCCGGTCCACGATTTGACGAGGCCACCCAACTGATGCGTTCGCAAGCAGATTCTGATCAGTCCGATGTACAACGGAAGGATGTAGATTGGGAAGAAATACTTCGTGAAGTGCAACAACAAACCCGAATGTCCGCTAACCGGAATGTACCGTCAAACAAAAGCTTAAACCAAACAGGAGTTAGTGACTAGTTTTATACATGGCTGTACATAGTGGTGATTTGTAAAATAAATCTATGGCAACTCGTGACTTTTGATAATGAAATAAATACATCAATCGAACGCTGGCTACCCACGTGATCTAATTTTCAGGATTGTAGCATAAAACTGCAAAGCAAATGGAGACTCCTGTATGGATCTCAGTACTGGTAGACTAGATAGTCGAAGTGAAAAAAAAATCAACTAACGGTTGATAAGTTTATTTTACACAGTTTTCTAATTCATCGGGCATGTTGAATAAAATGCGAGACCCAGTAACTACACAGCCTGGTGCGATCCGCGCCATGTAGCGGCGCGACAAAGAGAAACAATCACACCAGTGGCCAGCAACTGAGCCCAACACGTCCAATCGAATCAGCTGTGGTTTACCATTTATGAAATATTATTGACAGATAATACGAAATCAGTGGAACAGTTAAGATTCTCGAAAAAATGTGCGAAGCAGCAACTGTTGACAGCTCGGACAAGAGAAGACTTGAAAAAAACACGAGTGATGCTTCACAGTGAATGGTGAGCTGAGAGCTTTTGAAGTAGCACCATGATCGACTTAATCCGGCAAGGGAGTAAATGCACCCCGTTGATTTACAGCTGTTTGAAGAACGGGGGAAGGGAACTAGGAAAACAAATCTGGATTAGACGGGCCGGAGGGATGCATATGCCTTGCAAGCGAATGCAGTCGATGGTGCGACGCGCCACCTATCACGAACTCGGACGAGCCATGTGTCGGTGAAATGCACGGACCGAAACCGCCAGTCCCGGACCGACCACGTGAAGGCAATTGCAAACAGGAATTGTTAAACGATTGCATAGCATGGATGCGACATAGGTCATAGTGATTTGGCGTATCCGGTGGCGAATCTATCGAACTGATGTCAACGAGACCGTGATCGGCACACGTAGCTGCATGAGTCGTGGACAAAATGAACCGCCTGATAGTATCCTGAAACAGTAAGACGGGTTGGTTAGTTTCGTCGGTTAAGAATGCACCCTCGTAGCAGTTTAAAGACATTCAACCGTTACGTAAACAGACATTAACGCTTCAACGAAATCGTGTTTGTTTAAATGTTTTTGTTATCGTGTATCAATGTTACCAACGGGACTTGAATTTTTTTCTCAACATAGATGATATAATCGAATCACTTTGTGTCGAATAAAGTAGCTCCTTGCCGTTACCCGCAAGAAAGATCAGTGTGCAGGTAAAGTTGAAACCCCGCGCATACGTCCCACCGCGACTTAAGAAATCGAGCAAAACAAATATACCGGAACAATCGTCGACCCATCAGTCCCGGAAGGACCGAACATGGTGGCATACATGCATTGCATGCAGCAATAACAAGTTAAGTTTGTTGGTTTCTGATCTGTAAGAAAACCTATCGGGGTCTTCTGTCGTCCCCCA